TGCTTACGCTTTAATAGCGCGAAATATATCGCGCGTTAATTGTCCCAAATTGGCCAAAATGGCATCCTTTAAACCCCCGTAACTCTACAAAAAGTAATCACAGATGGAATATCTATTCAAAACTGAGCTAAGGACAACAATAGCTTTCGAATGGTGTAGAAGAATTTTGTCAAAATTGGCTAGTTAAAAAGTCGAAATTTGTCTGAAGAAAAAAAAAACCCACCTAGAGCACAAATATTCCGTTACTTTCGTATCGAAAGTCGGAACAAATAGAAAACCGAGCTAAGACTCATAAGTACACCGTGACTTTTTTTGCTTTCTTTCAGGTACAGTCCTAAATTTTGTAAGACTCAAATATGCTTCTTTCGTGGTTGTTTCACTTTCCATTTTCTTAAAGTTCAGTTCATTTGCTTAATAACTTCATTGTTATAAGGAAATCAAATATGTAAATGTATTAAAACAGTAACAAGACTGCTCGTATCAGGGCGAAGCCCTGAATGTTCCGACTGCCTTTCAAGGTCTATGGAGCAGTAATAACATGGAAAATTTAAATGTAACTAAGTAAAATTAAAACTTTTTTTTCTAAAAAGTTTGAGATTTTTTGTGAAAACATCCCCCCACACGCCATATTAAGTACAAAGTGATAGATTTTGCTCCTATTAACAAATCAATTATGGTATATATAATCTTCCTTGAACCAATTTGGAATGATTTCTAAGAGGGATTAAATCTTGCTTACGCTTTAATAGCGCGAAATATATCGCGCGTTAATTGTCCCAAATTGGCCAAAATGGCATCCTTTAAACCCCCGTAACTCTACAAAAAGTAATCACAGATGGAATATTTATTCAAAACCGAGCTAAGAACAACAATAGCTTTCGAATGATGTAGAAGAATTTTGTCAAAATTGGCTAGTTAAAAAGTCGAATTTTGTCTGAAGAAAAAAAAAACCCACCTCGAGCACAAATATTCCGTTACTTTCGTATCGAAAGTCGGAACAAATAGAAAACCGAGCTAAGACTCATAAATACACCGTGACTTTTTTTGCTTTCTTTCAGGAACAGTCCTAAATTTTGTACAGACTCAAATATGTTTCTTTCGTGGTTGTTTCACTTTCCATTTTCTTAAAGTTCAGTTCCTTTGCTTAATAACTTCATTGTTATAAGGAAATCAAATATGTAAATGTATTAAAACAGTAACAAGACTGCTCGTATCAGGGCGAAGCCCTGATTGTTCCGACTGCCGTTTGAGGTGTCATGAGCAGTAATAACAAAAAAAATAAACATAATAAAATAAAATGAATATTTTTTTCAAAAATTTGAAATTTTTCTATGAAAATCATCCCCCCACACGCCATATAAAGTACAAAAAGATAGATTTCGCTCCTATTATTTTATCAATTATGGCATATCAGCTTTCTTGAACCAATTTGGAACGATTTCTAAGGCGGATTAAATCTCCGCTTACGTGTTAATAGCGCGAAATATATCGCGCGTTAATTGTTCCAAATTGGCCGGAATGGCAATCTTTAAACCCCCATAACTTTGCCAAAAAGGGTCACAGGTGAAATATCTTTTCAAATTTAAGCTCAGGGCAACAATAGCTTTCGAATGATTTTTAAAAAATCCGTCAAAAATGGCTAGTTAAAAAGTCGAAATTTGTCAGAAGAAAAAAAACCCACCCCGAGCACAAATATTCCGTTACTTTCGTATCGAAAGTTGGAACAATAAGTTACAGTATCAAGCAAAACTTACATCAATTTTCAAACCAATTTTAAAAATTTTGATGGAATAAAAAGAAAAACAATCCTCGATTTTAAATTTTTAGGCAATTTCTCCCAATTTTGATTATCTTTTGACAAAATTGGATGAATAAAAAAAAATGCTTGGACCTTCCCCAGAATCACATAGTTTATCAATTTGTTTTTTATTCGACTCGAGTATTCATTAACAAAAACTACCGGTTAAATTTTGAAACATTGCGCTTCAAAGCTAAACTTTCAGGCTGCTAAACTTGGCATACAAAAACCTAATGTTTTCTCTTTTTTTCGTTTCTTTTGTGATGAAAAAAGTTTGGAGATAGAACAAAACGTAAACTTCTTAAGGAGGCTACTTATGACATGTTTCTGCGAAGTTTTGTCTCTAAATTTTAACGAATCGTCAATCTAACTAAAAACGGACATCTTTTACTTCAGATCTACAATGTGTGCGAGATTTAAAAAATACATCAACAGAACCAAATATTGCGAGCTGGTGGAATAGCAACAGTAGCTGAGGATTTTTTGCCAATGAATGTAACTCAAACAGCTTTAGAGAAAAAAAACTTTTTCAGTTTATCTGAAGCATATTGTTTACTTTTCTTTTTTTTGAATTTTTCTTTTATGGTTTTGTACGTAAGACTCAATTTAATCAACAAGTGAAATCACTTATTATACTGACGTAAGCATCAACAAGACTGGCGGTATTTGAGGGCGAAGCTCTGAATGTTCTGACTGCATTTTGAGGCCAATTAAAAGGTTTTTGGTTCAAAAACTGAATAAATAATCGAAAAAAAAAGAATATGCCTCAATTCAATTTAGACACTTTGGTATGCCTCAATTGGTGTGCCTCAATTCAATTTGGATTGAGTTAATCGACCGCTAAATAAGAACGCAAAATTGTTGTAAGATAGCAAAATATTGCACGTTTGTTATCCCAAATAGGACTATTAACAATTTTTTACGACAAAAGATTGCAAGTGACATTTTGTATACATTTGAACTTCGGATTTATACAATTCGGATTATACAAAAAAATGGCCAGCTAAACAAAATATCGTGAACGACGAACATTTTTCAAATTGAATGCATTATATTATTAAAAGCTTCGGAAAATTTGAACCACACTCATACTCATCAGCCAGCAAATTTCAATCAAGTTTGGTCATTAAAACTTTTAGAGCACAAATCAGCGGCAAAACCCAAAATTTCTAACATCAATACCAAAAGTTTTCGAGAAAAATCAAAAAAAAATTGAGAAAATGAGTTTTTTTTTTCAGGTGAAACAATCGCTGATTTAATTCAAGTGAAAAATTTGTTTTTGAGACGACCAACAAATATGCGTTATCATATCAATTATATCACTCCAAGAGCAAAAACTGGTGGAAAAAATGATGTTTTGGAGCTACATAAAGTTTTCTGAAGAAAGAGATATTGTAGTAATCAACGGAAACTTTATTTCGGCCAAGTGTTGCAAATAAGTTGAAAACCAAAGTTTTTTAAATCGTCACTGTATTCTTGCGTATATTTGTTTTTCTTATCTCGATTCTGATTGGTTAATACAATTTTTTTTCTACTTGATGACTTGAAATTTTGTCTACTTGATGGTATTTAACCTCTCGGGACGATAAAACGAAAGCATCAGTGCTGATGTATATTAAATGTTGTGCGTTTTTTTTCAAAATTTTCAAACAAATTTTACCCCAAATATGGGTCAATTTGCTTTTATAATTGATCAAGAAATACGCTGAAACTACAGTGTTAAACTATTTTAAAGATTTATCAACACGGGTTGAAGTACAACAGTGCCAAAATGGAAAAAATGTTCAACAAACCTGAAAACTGATGGCTTTCGGCACCTGGTGAACAACATTTTAATTTTCAACACTCTTGTACTAGGGAAGTGTTGTAATGCCTCGCCAGACGTCAATGTTCTTTTTTTTGTCTTGCCTCTGATTTGTCCCAAGAGTTTAATGAACGGCAGTTTAAAAAAACTGCTTAAATGAGACTTAATAATTGCTAAATAAACGTTTATATTGTAATAGATTTAATTGCGAAGTTAGCCTCTCATCAACTTTGTCTAATTTATTCTGACAACCGAAAAAAAAATTCACGCCAGTTTTTTTCTGCCAGTGAGACAGTTTGTGTTATTTTGAAATTCGTTACTTTTTGTTACTTTTTTTTGAAATTCGAGTCTTAAATAGTAGGGCTTTAATATAGTATCACATACAATCGGATTACTATGAAACTTTATGATTTAGCCAAATTGTGTGGGAAGAAGAAAAACACACCCTCCGCCATAGGTCCCTCCCATATTTTCTTGAAGACTATGTATTGATTTGCATTCGCATACAAAAACCGCTATGGTGAATATTTTCAGTTGTTTTCCACTTTTGGAACAGTACACGAAGTGCATGATATGAATCATTTCGTTCTGCACTTCAAAAGAGCACATCAAACTCAAACAAAAAACCCCGCCCGCATCCAAATTAGTCGTCAGATAGTTTTGACAATCTCTATAGCAGCCAAACGGCAACCCTAATCAGCTGACACTTTGAAATAGAACTTCGGGAAGACTACTAGTTTTCAGGTCATCCTAAAAGTGAACTCTTATTCGCTTCAATGCAATGACTCACTCCACAAATGAAACCTGATATCAAAAAGTTTGTCGACCTTCTTTTTTATGCCGAGCGAATTGATTTTGTGAGCTCTCCATGAACACTAAAAGGACCTCATTTAGACAACGTTTTTAGCGCCGCAGCCAAATTTTTGAAAAAAAACAGGTCAAAATTGAGTTTTTTCGAGCACTTTTTGGAAAGTTTTGGCGCGCGCTCTCCTGAAAAATTGGTATATATTGGTGTCATAGGCACCTTTAGAACAATTTTAGGTTTGGTCCCACAAATGAATGTCATAAAAAGACCGAAGAGGGGACCCTTTGATTATTGAGGTTGTCAAATCCCCGAGGAGAAGGTGTCAGCCCCCCGTGAGCCGAACTATAAACCAGCTATATAAAAAGCCTAAAACTATACCAAAAAATGAAAAATTTAAACTGTTTTCAATCGATTATAGTTTTATATTGAGCATGAATTATCTTTTGTTTTCAAAACCCCAGATTAAAATTGTTTGTTTTATGAGAATGCCAAGAAAAAAACAAGCAAAGGTAGATAGTGCTTTTCAAACTTTCACAGAATAATTATATAAATATCATATAACAGTTACGAAAATGGTACAATTGATGACTCACCATTTCTGTTTCAGATATGGGTCCGATGCTGTATATCCGGATGCCCACTGTCACGTTGTCAGTTTTCCCTAAACAAAAATCCTAAAGTTAGAGCTACAATTAAAGCTACAGTGCTCCATTGCTCGCGAGTGGCCAACGAAACAGTATCGCAGATATGAGAAAACAAGACTGCTCGTATATCAGGGCAAAATCTTGATTTTTTTGACGGCCACTTAACTATTCTCGAAATGTTTTTGCTCAAACTTGTGATAAACTATAAAATTTGTACTGCCAATATTGAATGTAAGTACTAACATTTGAAACATGACAAACTATAGTTGGCCTGAATTCAATTTGGAACGATTAAGAGTGCGGAAAATTATTCACGCATAATTAGTTTGCGTATTAAAATGCTATCAAACTATTGTTCAATCAGTGTTGCCATCCGCATTTTAGTCTAGTGCAAGCATAGTCGCCTGTCATTTTTTGTAAAATCAGTCTAAATTGAAAAAAAAATAAATTTAATGAGCTTTTCAGACTGCTTCGAAGAATAGGTATATTCGCTCTATAAAAAAATAAAAGAGTTTTTGGTTTTTTGAGCATATTTTTATTGAGTATAAAGTATCCATTTTTCGAAATCCCACTTTAATATAATTTTTGAAACTATGTAGTTTTCATATCATTTTTGATATTTTGTAAAACTGATTTAAGTTAGTTAATCAAGGAGGGGTAATCTCGCACGATCTTGCAAAAATCTCACAAGGTTCTACAAAAGTCGATACCCATTCTTTCCAACTATAACGTTCAAATAGCCTAAATTCTTTTAAAACAGGTGATCAGCTAAAAAATTAAAAAATGAAACAGTATCGTAAAACGGCCAAACAGTCCGCGTGAACCTCAAAAGAGGAAAAAAGTTTATCATACAATTCCATGAACTTAGTCTCTCATAAAACGCGAATACAAGTTTGTCGTACAAATTTCATTAAATTTGGCTAAAATGGTGTCATTGAATTTTAAAATAACTTTTTTGTTTTGGCATGAAAAAAAAAACGCTAAGCATTCACTAAAAGGGATTTGTATGAAAGGCATTTTTTGAAGGCGACTTTATAAATTTTTAAAGTGTGTTTTTAAATTTTCCACTAAAATTGTGTTCTAAAAGTTTTTCAGGTGCTAATCCAATTTTGTACTCAAACAAACATTTATCCAAAAAAATATACATGCTCGGAAAGCCTATTTAATCCGTATGGCAGATTTTTGTAAGCTTTGGGCAATGCATGATCAATTTAAATTTCAAATTAGAAAAAATCTTTTTTGCCCTATTGCTTCTTTGAAAAAGTTTGCTTCCTTTGTTATATTGTTTAAGTAAGACATCTACCCTCAGGTCTTTACCAATATGCTATGCAAGCAAAACCGTTACAACTGAGGAATTCACTATTTTTGAGAAACCATCGAGTATTTGTCACACGTGTTCGGTTACGATTTGAATTGAGATACTAAATTTAAAAAAAATTGGTTTAAGAAGAAAAGTTAATCATACAATTTCAATTAATGAAAAATCAGTAATCATAGACCTTTCGTGCAGCTTTCTGCACTAATGGAATTGCATAAAAATTGTATCATTAGCATTTTTGGTTAACCCGGGGTGTATTTCATGTTACCTTACAAATCTGTTTTTGCTTTTTTATAATATTATCTGGTTAAGTAGGACTTGATTTACCATGGCTTTTTTCCTTTCCCTCACCTGCAAAATTTAACCAGTAAAATATTTGTTATATTTTTCAATTTTTACAAAAGTTGGCATGCTGAAAAAAGCCCTGACAAACAAATTTTATCTGCAAAATTAAGGGTGTAAAACACCTCGTTACATCATAAAACTGATGCTCCAGTGAGGCACTGTGGCCTGCATCAATTGGGTTTTTTCAAAAAATCTACACAACTGGTGAGGTTCAATATACATTTTTTTTCGATGCTTCGGCAATCAAAGACGAGGGTAAGCCTAGAAAGGAAAAAGTTAGAAATTGAAGCGCACTGTTGTTTATCGAAAATCAAACTGACCTGTGTCTTTTTGATCTTAGGTTCAATTTACAATATCTAACAATTATGTAAAAACAAAATTTCTTGAAATAACCAATAAAGGTCTTCACTTTGCTGAAACTTGAGAAAGCATTGAACATACAAAAACAGCAAAAAAAATTATAAAAAAGAAAAATCATAATAGAATATAATCATAAAAGAATATAATATTATAAAGCGAAAAATTATAGAATGCAAAATCATGCTCACTTCTCGCAAATGCAATGCAAGTTTCGCGAGAACCTTGCAAAATGAATGGAAACCTTGCAACAGTGTTACAAGAAAAATCTGAAAATAATGTGTTTTCATGCAAATAAGCTTGAGTCCGAGAGCAAATAGTGCACTCACAGCACATTGAAGAACTGACATGTCAATGAACTATTAAAAAAGGCAGGTCTAAAAATGAAATTTTGCAACATTTGCATAAATTTAGATTAATCAAATTACCTGTGTGCGGAAATGCTTTAATTTATTCTGGCGATATTGTGAAAACTTTGTTCATTCCGCTTGTCACACTTATTTTAAAAATAACGAAAAGACACGGAACAATTTAGCTCTGATTATAATATCATAATACCATGGTGAATTTTTGACCTTTTATTTATCGCAAGATTTTTGTCCTCAAAATGAGAAAAAAGAAGTACTTGACGACACCATACTCTTGTCTTTTTTTTAAACTTCTGAATTAATGATCGGAATTATACTGTTTGCCAAAAATAGTCATTTTTTTATGAGGAACAAAACATGTCTATCCTTAACGATCTAATCAGTTGGTAAAAGGTGTGAAAGAAAGAGTTATAATATATAAAACCCAGGTGCTCCACTAATACATTGAGTTACGGGACACTGCGGTAACCCCAATTAAACCTAGGAACTTCAATTTATTAGAGCTCGCGTAGCTAACAAACAGTGATAATCATGAATAATTTTCAACTGTGTGATAGAAAATTTGTTCCTCATATTCTGTAGCCAATGATGTTTTTTAAAACTGCCATGCCTTATGCTTTCAAAAGTGAACTAAATATACATAAATTACTTCAAACATGTGTTTGTAATCTTACTTAAAAGAAATATTTTCAAAAACGGACTTGTTAACAATTTTCCCTCTTTTACAAAAAAGGCAATTCGTTTCAAGGTCTAATATTTGCATCTTCTTAACCGTTGGATGCGCTAAAGGCCTAAGTATTTAGATACCATAGCGGTTAAATTGAGAACAATATCTTCAGAAAGCTCAAAGGAACTCTTTGTCTTCCAAAATCGCATAAGAAGGAGATTAAGCTTAAAGCATTTGAAATTAAGGAAGCAAAGATATTGGATATTTAGAAAGCAAAGATTACATTCCAGCATAATATATCTAACAAAATTATCAGGCGCAGATCTAGGGGTTTTTGAAGAAAATGTGTATTTTCCCATATATATATATATATATATATATATATATATATTTTTTTTTTTTGAAAATTTGCGGACCTTTTTTAAGTCAGCCAAAGTTGTTTTCTGAGGTCTGCCAAAGAAAACTTTGGAAAAAAACAGATTGAATAAGAAAGTTTTGAAGAAAAATAAGAACTAAAATGAGAGACCGCGCCGAAAACGGAGACGAGACGGGGAGTATAGTTTTTGGTTCCAAAAGGCGCCTTTAGAAAACTTTTGGCTCCGTTTCAATACCATCCCCCATACCTGCCCCTAAATCCACCACTGCATATTACAATTCCCTCACACAGCGTAATCGTTAGTTACAACCTCTCTGAAAAGCTTTGAAAAAACTACTTGATTCCTTGTAAAGTTGAAGCGCAAAAAACTTACCGAGAAAAATAAGCACACAGTTACGTCTTGAGATAAGCAACAAACAGGGACGAAAAAGGGTTCAATGAGCTGCTCTGGGGCGTGGGGGGTAGGGGGTTTTGGGTTTGGAGAAAGTGACGAGCAAACAAAATATCCAACAGCGAACGTGTTAAAAACCTTTTTTTTTTTTACAAATTAACTCTCAAAAATGAAGAAGATTTACTGAATTTTTTAAGTTAAATGAGATTAACCCGATCTACTCACAAGGCAACGGACCAAGATACGAACTAAACAACTCATCACGGATAACCACTGTTGAGCCCCTGGTTAAAATTACATGCTATTTTTGGGTAATTTTTCTGGGTTGAGTAATTTTGCCTTACACTTAAATAACAATCACGGAACATGGTGGGCCTCAAACATATCCTATATTTCGGTTGAAGGGCGGAGTTGCGACGTTCATTGAGAAAAACAAACAATTTGAACTTCAAAAAAGTCGACCTTTTTGCTAGTCAGCTGATATTTTGCTGGTAAAATCAACACTCGGTCAATACGTTTACTTACAAATACTGAACACCATGAATAATAATTGATTATTATGGAAAACTGATGCCTAAAATATGGTCATTTCAACGCGTTTTTGTTGCAAATGTAGACCACCAAAATCAATTATATTTTCAATATAATTAAATATCTACGTAAAAACTCAATCCACGTTTATTTTATTTGACTCCAAAAGCGCCTTCAGAAAGTTTTTAGATCCGTTTCAATGCCATCTCACATACCCCTAAATCCACCTCTGCATATTACAATTCTCACACAGCGTAATCGTTTGTTATGATCTCTTTGAAAAGCTTTGAAAAACACTACTTGATTCCTTGTAAAATTGAAGCTGAATAATTTTACCGTGACGGCACACAGTTACATCTTGAGATAAGAAACAAACGGGGATGAAAAAAGTTTTTGTTGGATTTTCAATGAACTGCTGGGTGTGGGGGGGGGGGGGGAGAAATTGACGAGCAAACGAAATATCGTTCTACACTTGGCTCCCCCACATCCACATTTGCCCTTGCATCCACATTTGCCTCCTCCCACCGACATCCAAATTTGCCACTCCCTCACACACATATAGACCACCCTCTACGTTTATCCTTACCCCTACCCCTGCCCTCATCCCCCTTAGAAGTAAAGGGGGTAAATGCACAGCAGATATAAGTAGAGGGGTATAGGGGGT